CCCCCCCTACCCCCCCCCCCCCCGAGCATTATAAACTTAACACTGATGGGACAGCTAAGGGTAACCCAGGCATTGGGGGAATTGGTGGGGTATTCGGGACACACAATAGGGACTGGGACTGGGGTATATGGAAAATATACCGCACACCACCAACACTGGCAGAGTTAACTGCATTGCTAAAGGGTCTCCAAATTGCAGAACAAAATGGGTGGATAGCACTGGGAGTAGCCACAGACTCGCCAGAGGTAATAAGAATGCTAATCACAGGAAATATAACTTATGATCCTACTATATGTGAATGCAGGTTGTTGATCCAAAGGATGGCCAGAGTAGTAGTGAGACACAATTACAGGGAGCAGAATAGGGTGGCTGATGCACTGGCAAAGGAGGGAGCAAAAAAAAAATTGGGAAGAACTACCATGCTATCAGTTCCTCCGATGTTTGCAAATGAATTATTTTGGACAGACATCTTGGAAACTGAAGTAACTAGACATTTTTTGGCTTGTAATTTTGATACACCGGAAGAAAACATGTCTGTATTAGGAGGATTGCAATATCCCCTAGTTAACCAGCACTCTGTAATGTAATATATATATATATATATATAAAAACACTTAATTTTAGATAAGTACTCATCTATTGAAGAGTTTTGCAAGTGCATTTAATTATGACAAATGGTCCAGATACACATATACAAGGATATCATATTTTCGACTAATAACTATAAAGTTATGAAATATATTTAACATATGACATTAATTTACGATTGGTTTTGTTTACAACTTAAAAGTTTTCATCTTATTTATGATTGGATGTCTAGTAGTAACTGTTGCTAGTAATATTATGTTTTTATTGAAACTTGCAGGCATCCAAACTGTTCACCTAAAATTATTCTGAAGTCTATTTTTCGGGGTGGGGGGCTGTCCTTCAATTTCGAAAGTCTATTCCGAAGTCTAATAAAAGTGCTAAACACTGTCTTTGGCCATAAAGAATGCGTATAGCCTAGTGGTGACAAATGGATTAAAAAATATAATTATCCATACATATTATTCACCAAAAATGGGTTGAATCATAAACTTTTTAAAAATGGATCAAATATGAATAAGATCCATAGTATTCACTTAAAAAATAAATACTTAATGGATAATCAATGTGTTTAACATTTACAATTGCAAAGAATAATGTGCATATCCATATTATCCACCAGTTAACCTATTTTCCTATAATATAGCCTATAGCAATCACGAAATACATCAATAGAACACAAATTCCTTCTTCCTAATTGACAACCCATGTGAAAGCTCCCTTAAGGCAAAAGAGAGTATATTTCTATGGCAAAAGAGAGTACATCGATGAGATATAATACGCTGTGACTGTGAGCCTGTGACTTATAAAGGTATACTTTGAATTGTAAGGAGCACATCATGTAGGGATATGTTGTGGCTAAAAGGACTAGAATCTTAAATCCATAAACTTCAAATCTTGCCTCTATCCATCTACTAACTCTTAACCATTTTTATCAAAAAATTTAATTCTATCCAAGGATCCATAATCTAAAACTTATGACTTTTAAGTTGTGGCAATAATCAACGTTTTACGGTTTGATTTGGTTATCCTAGTACTTAACCTGTATTTTCATTATTAGCTCACTTCCTTATGATACACGAGCACATGGTACAGATTATGATATATTATACCGATGTTGTCTACACTATGAATAAGAACTCTCTATTTTTCCTCCCCTATTTTTGATAGAAAGAGAATAAGCGCTATTCATTGAGAGAGGATTTGCCACTTTTGAACGTAGGATTACTTTGTGGACACCACCAACTAACTATGAAGTCTCCTATTGCACCATCAGTTATGAAATATTGTCTCTTTATACAAGTTATGCCGTTGAGTCCACAAATAATCTTTGTTAACGTAAATAAGAGTAGATAAGTTTGACTAGTCAATGGTGTTCCTTTGTTAATTCTCATAAATATTAGTTAAAAGTTACTTTATTCCATAATAATAGATGTCTTAGTTTTTGGCATTACTGCAATAGAATTTATACTTTCAGACAATCAAATCATAGTAAGATGAATCTTTAAGTCTACAGAAAACTTCTCCTGTACCTCTTGTACAAAAATATGCATTGTATTTCAATCAAGGCAGAAGGCACATCACATATTCATGATAAAATAGCAACCTATAAAAAACGAAAGACGTGAACAGAATGGATTTAAATAATTTTTTCATGCATGATAAACAAGCACCAGAGAAAAATACCAGATGACAAAGGAGAGCATCACTAAACTACATCTGTTTCAGTATTCCCTCGAAAAAAAGGTAAGAAAATGTATTACTGTACAGTGCAAAGCTGCATATGAGCGCATGTTCCATTTAGTAGGGGCCAGAATGACAAAAAACAGGCAGATCGATTGATCTTAGCAAAAACTGCTATTCTTACCAAATATTGTCAGTAGAAGTTGGCCACTTCATGAGAAACATTATCAGCAACGTCAACTTTCTTTAGAAGCTAGAATGAATCTTCCGGTTCCATCACAAAACCACAAAGTAATCCTGTGGATTATACATCAAACATGTCGATCTCTTATGATAGAATTACTTTATCACCCCTGATACACTGTAGGAAGGAATTTTGCGCAAGGACATATACAAGTACAAACCTTTATGACTCATCTTGTGGTGCTGCCTTGAAGAAGATATGATGCTTTACTACGAACCTAACAAAAGTAACAAATGTCAGCAGGAGTACCCAAATAACTAAGATGATAAAATTTGAAGAGCATTATGTTGTCTACCTTAGAAGCATAAGACCTCAAATCTGTGCTGGTGATTTGACAGGAACAGTTTCTAAGGCATGCACCCCACATCTCACTGATAATTGGTTTATCTTTTAGCAAGGGGTTGCAAAACAGCCAGTTCTCTACCAGAACCAAGTGAATATGCATCTTTAGAAGATCACAATTCTTATCCTTCAGATTGATAGAGATTAGAGATCTCAAGATCTGTTCTTCGTCATGTAGCTGCACATGTATTTAGGGAAACATGCATACACCGGAAAATTGTTATCTTACAGAAGAAAACACATTTCAGGAGCTGGTATGACAAATATATGACAATGACAAGCATGATGCCGCGCAGAGATAATACTTAAATGATAGTGTAATAGTAAAAGCAGATCAAAGCTACCTTGTTATCAAAACATGCTACAAGAAACTGAAAAGCCAGCACACTCCTTAGATGCTTAGTACGAGGATTCCCTCCGGTTACAATCTCCACAGATCTCAAGCAGTTGACATCAGTAGGAACTCTGAAGTAATAACTTTTACCATTATACAACTTCAACGCAAAGAATATAAACATAAATATGAAACTTCCAAACACTCAGATCCATCAAAGCAGGCAACAAAAACATAAAGCTCTAAGTAAAAATCAAAGAGATGAGCAAATAACAATGTATATGATTTAAGATGCAAAAATGCCAAACATAGAACAATTTTGACTTCTTAACATGCTTTGCAAATCAGTCTCTTGATAAATAATCCAAATAGAAATTTTCACTCTCTACTGCAGCGATAAAATGAATCTTTTCCAGCTGAAAGGTGTACGTTCCAAATTTAATTTCACCAAAGTTTGTATTCATATACAACTTATCTTATTCTTCCACTAAAATTATCTCTTTGTACCAAGTGGAGGAGGGATAAGATCCAACCATGTACGGAAACAATTAATTTGAGGATTAGAGGTACTAAATTAATTCAGAACACTATCAAACTAATAGTAAAAAATAACTGTTATATATACAACAATATATACCTGCAGGTGACGGATTTTGCTATTTTCTGACAGCTCGAATGAAAAGCATCATCACTAAAGAAGCTAATAAGGGAGCGCAAGCAATCATTCAACGCTGAAGATAGGCCAAGAAGTTGCCGGTCTAAAAAGAGATAGATCACTGAAGTAATCAGATCTTCTACCTCCGAAGTTGAGAAAATTGAACATGTAGTCCTACCAAAAAACGAAAATGTGAAGATTGAGATTTAAGATAATGCCATGATTCAGGATTAACATAACCAGAATGATTCTGATCAAAGGTAGGTACCAAATTATTTAGCATTCAACATGGCTGACATGGCTAAAATTCCTAATTTCTAAACATTTGCATCAGTTATAAGAATGTTTAAAACCCCAAAAACACAAATAAAGCTCCAAAAATTGACAGGCTAATCACGTACCTTGCTTGGCAACAAACGGAAACATACTTTATCCAGGATTTGATATTTTGAGGCGGTCCAGCAGAATCAGAATCTAAGACACAGCATACAAAGTTGTGAGAATCTGTAACTGATAAGTATAAAATAAGGCCCTTGTAATAACTCTATATTAGTACTCAGTCTTCTAAAAGACGGACAATTGTTGCTACCAGGGAAGTCAGACTAAGGAGAAAATTTGTCTACCTCCATCGACAATTTCCATGCTAGATAAAGATTTGGAAGGGGAATCCAACAGAAAGCCATATACTTCAAGTGCTCGCCTCAGTTCTGAATGGTTCGGCAACCATTCCATCTCAAATGTTACATCATCAACCTTACAAAGCATGAGAGCGAAAATAACTCAAGAAATTTGCATTAACATATAGAGCAATATATGTTCATTCGTGGTGGAAAGATGAGAACCTGATTTTCAGGTAAAAGAAGAGAACACCAAAATTCACATGCTGCTTCCCTCAACTCTTCTTTTGGTGAATATAACACTGAGAAAGCATAAGGCAATTGTAACTATGGAATCACTCAATCTCTATAGTGGGAAAGTGTTGCTACTTACTGAGACTAAAAGTCCATGTTGCTATGGACTTTTCAACTAGACAATGATTTTTGACCAATTTCAAAAGCCAACCATGCACAAGCAATCCCTCCAGAAATGCTTCTCCTGCAATAACATTCACGGATGTAGAACCACTCAGTTAATCTCCAGCTAAATTGGTTAAATTACTCGTTTGAATATCCTAAGAACTTGTCCTTGAGTTGTACCTACAACGAATTCAACATAGAGCTAAATGTAGATAGAGATGTCAGTAACAAAGCACAATAGTGACTAATACCACCAGAAATTGGGGGGGGGGGGGGGGGGGGGTTGGCGAAGCACCTTCTTCTGGTTTGAGTTCAAACAAGGAATTAACTTCATGCCCCATGAAGGTCTGCAAAAGGACACAACTCCTAAGCTCGGGAAAAGTCAGCAGGGGCATAGTTTTCTGCAGGTCGGACAGGTAAAGATACATATTACATTTCATTCAAAACCAAGATGCCATCAGAGTCAAATGAATGCTATAAAAACGTCTTAGTTCATAGATAAAACCTGGTCTCCAAAAACTCGAAGACCCCATAATGGCATCTGATCATCAGTACTTATTTCATTCATCTAAAAAACAAAGACAAAAAATTCAATGTTACCCAACATTAGGAGCAAAGTGAGAATAATATTCCACTGGAAGAAAGGAAAGATAGATTCATGCCTGTTGTTGGCATTTGTCAACATAGTTATGAAGCTCTGCTTCTCTTGTATCCCCATCATCATCTGAATCATAGGACTTCTGGATCTTTGCACGTTTAGGTTCCTTCTTAGGTGTGTCACTCTTCACTTGGTAAAAATCATTCAGAAGATCATCTAAGTCGATTACCTTTTTCCTAGGAAATACAGATTAGTTGCACAGAGAACGTAAGACAGTACCACAAAGTTAAGACCATTCAATTGGCAGAATAAGCAACGACGAAATGAAATGGACAAGAGACTAGCCTGTTTCCAGTGCGATATTCTCCATCAAGTAATAAAATGAATACCCCATACATATTCGCTATGTCAGGGGAAAAAAGAAGAAAAAGAAAAAGAAAAAGAACATAATGGCTATGCTGAATCTTGCCCTATTTCTTGAGTCAACATTGTTTTCATATTGTTCTTGCGTGATGGTGCTTGACAACCACATTCTCTCATTAATTATTCACTCAAATAGTGCTCAACAAGACTTGCTTAGACATAACACATACCAATTCATAAGGACGATAGTTTAATCCATACTATATTTGACGACGGATGAGACTATTTTTATACTCTTAAGACTCGTCAAATTTTGGCTCATTTCCGGGGATAGAGTGACGAGTAGTGATCAAATAAGTTATGTTAATGATTTGAGAACCAAATTTTTATTTCATTTCATCTAACTTGTTTCTCACCTATTTTGTTGCACATAGCAAGTTGTGTGCGGGTGCATGACTTGCTCCTCTTCCAAGGAACCAATTCAGTACAACCCAGAAATAGAGAGATCCTTGCAACAACTAAGGAGAGAACTAGCAGAACGGTCACACATTGATCCAGGAAAATATGGGGAAAACCAGGGACTGAACCTTACAGGAGAAACTCAGCAAGCCTAATGACAAACCTAGAGCAGGAAGACTACTTAGAGACTATGCAATGCTGACTTACAATGGTAGACAGGCAAGCATGAGGCGCCCACCAGTGATAGCATTAATTTTGATATCAACCAAGTTGTCATCCAAATAATCCAGCAAATACGTTTATTCAAGTCAAGTCAAGTGAAGATCCGAATATGCATCTATTGGACTTCCTAGAAACTCTAGACACTTTTAAGTACAATGGTGTTTCTAGTGACATGATCAGGCTAAGGCTCTTCCCATTTTACAAATGATGTTGATCAAACTCTATTCCCTAGGCAAATGAAGAATCCTGATACTCATTCAAAAATCATTTAAACAGCCCCAATTTTGAAGAAACTTGTGATCTACCCTGGTATGTCAGTAAGCAGCCTAAACTCTAACTTGTCATTTTGAAAACCTACATCTACCCTTTTTGTTAGAACTTAGACTTTGCGTTGATTGGTTATAACCGGAAAGGTAATGGCTTGACCTAAAAGATAAAGACAAGGTCTGATTATTTATTTTTAACTGTGTGTGGATAAATGAGCTTCAACTACTATTGGCTTGTGACGAGTAGACTCTCTCTATAAATAGTGGCCAACTTCCTTTCCTTAATTATCATAGGAACAACCCTAATCGTATTCTGTTTTCTAGAGTGGGTGGAAAAGAAACTATTCACATTCATCTAAATCGATTCTTTCTGCGTCAAGACAACGTGGTAACGGGTGGTTGTGAAAGTTAGTCTCAGGCTTAAAGGCTAATTACAGTAACAGTTACTATTGCGGGGGTGAACTATTAATCTTACATGTCTACTCTTATAGATTTAAATGATAGGTGCATTAGGCCCTCAATCGCGAAGCCATTGTCCATTTTGGCCCAATCCCTTCTGGGCCACTTCAAGGCTTTTGGGCCTTCACGGTTTTGTCCCCTTGGGCTTTAACCCAAAAGACGCTTCAATAATTGAATCCTAAATTTGCCCTTACATAGCCTTTAACTTAGCTTTTTTCACTTTTAGCCCGCGCCACCGGAAAAGTGAATAAAATTTGTATAATTTTTGTATATAACATACAGAATATGTATATATACAAAAAAATATACATTTTTTCGGCTATTATTTTAAGAACGGTTATACATTGTCATTTTCTCTTTAACTTTCTCCTCTTATTCCGACGTGAAATTTGCTAAAGGCAAGTTTCACAGGAAACGCCCTCTCGACTTGAACCGCCAGCGATCCATGGGTTGTTACAGTATGTCAACCCTAACTAAGATTGCGCTTCTATACTATGCTTAATCTCTCTTACAATCATAAAATTAATTTTTACACCTTTACTCACACTGACTGATATAAAATGAAACAGCCTAGAGGATAGTTAAATTAGAATGAGAAGCTTAAGACTTGGTTCAAGTGAGATTTCTCAAATAAAACACTTAAGACAAACTAAAATAGTTCAACTGTCTTACACTGGTAACTATAGCAATTAGTAAGTGTGGATTGCAACAACCGATTACACAACACTGCTACTTGACTAAACCCTAGATACCCAGCATCTGGTTTTGCAATCTAATCAGCAGGAGAAATAGGATACAGGAAACAAAAACATTGGTGAAAGGAAAAAGAACTTACTTTTTCTTGGTAATAGTAGGGCTAACATGTGTGAGTTCTTCAAATTCAAAATCCAGAGGTTCATCCATTTCTGTCATCCTTCTTTTTTTTCAATTACAGCGAATTAAGCAGACTAACCAAGATTAAACAAAATTATCAGTTTGTGTATAAGGGACAGGATCCGAGCAGAAAATAGTATTAGTATTAGAGTATTAGTACTTGGCTTAGGCTTATGGAGATTTCGAACAGAAAAATGGAACAAATGGTCTTCAATTTTTGTTTTATAACCTCGGCTTTGCCCGGGAAAACGAAACCTTACAGCTTGTTTGGATGGTTGTTAACCATTGTATTGTATCCTATTGTTACGTTAAATACGATGTTTGTTTTGATTCTTAATTAAATTTTATTGTATCGTATTGTTAAATTCGTCGTTACATAATGATGAAATATGTCACTTTATGTAACGACCGATTTGGTGTGGTCGCGTCGTTACCTTGTCTTTTTCTCTCAATCTCACCCTTCATTATTATTAAATAATTTTATTTTATCATTTACCATAATTTTATAAAATAATTTTACTCTGTATCATAATTTTTCTCTATAATATTGCAAATTTATTCTTCATATTGCTGATGCGTGATATCATGAAACGATGGCAAACGACACAATCTATCCAAACATTGTATTTATCAAACGATACAGTACAATACAATACAGTACGATACGATACATTATGAAACGATACGTAAGAACCATCCAAACAAGCTGTTAGTTTCTTTTTCATTTGCATCGTTTCTTTTTTGGACGAATTGCACGTTTGCCCTGCAAATTTTCTATTGTGCCTATTTCATCCCCCTCCCTTCCTTTGGAAGCCAAATTTATAGTAAAAATAGCACGGGCCAGTCAGTTTTCCAATAGAAAATAGTCAGCATTTGTAAAGTCATTGAATAATAGCCACTATTTTGCTGCAACACGGAAAGTTCCAGCATAATATACTGGAGAATAGTACACTTGTGTATGAACTTCCAACATATTATGCTGGAACTCCAACACACAGAAAGTTCCAACATAATATACTAGAGATTGGAGCACATGTGTATCAACTTCCAGCATATTATGATGGACCGGTATATTATAGTGGAACTCCAGTATATTATACTGGAATATTTTCCGGATGTTGAATAGTATTTTCGTTCAAATTTATCTTTACATGAAAAATGGCTAAATTTCTATTACTTTTGAAACTGTAGCTATATTTCAATTACCACTTGTAAATTTGGCTATTTTTGAATTTCTCCCAAATTTACGCTCCTACTTTGGTATATTATTCACATCTACCCTCTATTATATTATCGATCCACATCCATCCTTACCATTACCAATTTTTTTTAAAATACACTCATCCTCACAAAAAGCCACCATATTATAAACAATATTATTTCTAAATTAAAAAAAAAAAAGATTAAGCCATAACCCATTAAATCATAAAAACTCTTTTACTTACTGCATTTCTTCCTCTCAAATTATCAAGAAGGCGGTTGCAATCCCAAAGCATCCTGAGAGAAACATGAAAGACAAGGATTCTAAGTTTAGGTTGATTCTTATTGAGAGCAGGATTTACCGACTTGCTCGTTACTATAAAAAAACAAAAAAGTTTCTTGTCACGAAACGAATTTCCCATTGTTGGGACCGTGATGGCGCCTAACATTGTACCCGCTAGGCAAGCCAACATTACCGATCATTTTACCTTTTTCCTTTATCTCTGAACAGTTTACAAGTTAACAAAAGTAAATCAGCGAAAGAACAGAATTTAACAGATTATCTTAATACTAATAGCGAAACCGTAATAAAACTCCACCCATAACAGGTGTCACAACTCACGAGCAGTCTACGAATACTACAAACAATGGTCTGAACAAAGAAATATACATCTGTCTCGAAAGTAGATAAAACAGAAAAGAAATAGGATAGAAGGGGACGCCAGGGCCTGCGGACGCCTGCAGGACTACCTCGGGTCTGTAATGGACTGAAGGCAGCCACCCAAACTCTACTCACAAGGTCCGGCACCGAAATCTGCACAGAAAATGCAGAGTGCAGTATCAGTACAACCGACCCCATGTACTGATAAGTGCCGAGCCTAACCTCGGCGAAGTAGCGACGAGGCTAGGACACGACAACCGACATAAACTTGTGAAGTTAAACAATATACTGACAGAATAACAATAATAGAAGCTAAACAGAAATTAACGGGAAGGGGCAACATGCTAAGGGGGGTATCAGAATAAGGAATCATAGTAGTAACGGAAATTAAACAATTAATGCACTTGAACCGATAACAGCAAATAATCACATCAAACAGAAAATGCACGGCATCACCCTTCGTGCTTTTACTCTAAATCATCACCATGCAATCAATAATAGAAATGTGCACGGTATCATCCTTCGTGCTTTATCACTCTTCCTTACCATATGAATAATAGAAATGTGCACGGCATCACCCTTCGTGCTTTATCTCTCTTCCTCACCATATGCATCAATATAAATGTATATGTGCACGACATCACCCTTCGTGCTTTATCACTCTTCCTCACCATATGCATAAGTATGAATGTGCACGGCATCACCCTTCGTGCTTTATCACTCTTTCCTCACCCAAACAATAGAAACAATAACATCCCGGCAAGGGAATCAGCTATAACCAATCTCGTTTCAACAATTAAATTCACAATGTAAGTCTCAACTTGAGTCAACACTCAACAATTACCCAATAACAAGAAAATATAACCAAACTTGTTCAACATGGAAAGTAACCAGCTTAAGCATGAACAATACGTGATAAGAGACACAATGGTTACAGGTATATGGCTCATTTGCATGCTATGACCCAACAACAATGTATAGATACTCGTCGCCACACCTATACGTCGTACTGAACAATTAAACACGTAGCAAGTAAGACAACAACACATATTCCCTCAAGCTAAGGTTAGACCAAACACTTACCTCAATTCCACGGCCTAACTCAAGCCTCAAATATCGTTTTTCCCTTAGTTTCCACCTCCAATCCCCTCGTATCTAGCCACAATTAACTCAATATCAACAATTATTGCTAAGGGAATCAACTACAATGCATAAATTTAATTTTCCCAAACTTTCTCCCAAAAAATCAAAATTCGACCCCGGGCCCGCTTGGTCAAAAGTCGAGGTTCGGGCCAAAACCCATTCACTCATTCACCCACGAGCCCAAATATGTAATTAGTTTCGGAATCTGACCCCAAATCGAGGTTTAAATTCCTAAATTTGTAAAATTCCCAATTCCCCCAAAATCCCTAATCTCTACCCTTAAAGTTAGGCCTAAAAATCTAATGGGTGTTGATGGAAAATGAAAGAAATGAGTTTAAGAATACAAACCTATGATTTGGTGTTGAAATCCCTCTTCAAAAATCGCCCAAGGTCGAGTTATATGGAAGAAACTACGAAATTTTGAGCAAATCCCGACTTAGGTTCTGTTTTAAATCACTGGACAGGTCTTCTTCGCGTTCGCGAAGCAGCGGTCCTATGACCTCTCGCGAACGTGAAGAAGGATACATCTGCGCACCTGCAACAGCAAAATAGCAGAAATCTCTAAGTCCAAAACATCCCGAAACCTATCCGAGACTCACCCCGAGCCCTCGGAGCTCCAAACCAAATATGTACACAAGTCTAAAAACATCATACGGACTTGCTCGTGCGATCCAATCGCCAAAATAACACCTAGAACTACGAATTTAGCATCAAAATCAATGAAAATCTCAAGAACTCTTTAAAGTTTCTATTTTCACAACCGAGGGTCCGAATCACGTCATATAAACTCCGTTTCTTACCAAATTTTACAAACATGACTTAAATACCATATTAATCCTGTACCGGGATCCAGAACAAAAATACGGGCCCGATACCAACAAGATCGAATATTATTCAATTTCCAAAAATCCTTATATTTTCAGTTAAATAATTTTCTTCAAAAATTCATTTCTCAGGCTAGGGACCTCGGAATTAAATTTCGGGCATACGCCCAAGTCCCATATTTTTCTACGGACCCTCCGGGACGGTCAAATCACGGGTCCGGGTCCGTTTACCCAAAATATTGACCGAAGTCAACTTAATTCAATTTTAAAGGCAAAATTTAGCATTTTTCTCAAAATTTCACATAAAGGTTTTCCGGAAGAGCGCCCGGACTGTGCACGCAAATCGAGGAGAAAGAAAATAAGGTTTTTAAGGCCTCGAAACCCCGGATTGGGTTCTAAATCACGAGATGACCTATTGGGTCATCTCACTTCTACCAATCTGGAGATGTGTGTGTGTGTATGTATGACATTAGCATTCGAAGTGATCATAGTAAACTGTTTACTCTTGTTTTTGCAATCATAATATGTTCAATGCAAAGGAATATGAACATTCAGATATGATATAACTTTTTACTTAGCATGTGTTGTGATTGTCTTTGGGAATATGGTGGGAAGGTTATTCTAAGTAGAGATTTTTTTATATGGCTCGTCCTGTGATGCTTGATTAATTGATTTTCTATTGAATCTAATTTTAGATATCTTTCTAGCTGGAGACTCTTGTTCAATGGAAAATTTTGAATGTTATTGCTCTCCTAGTGAATTTTTGGTTTCAAACACAAGTTGTTCGTATTCTTTGCATTTTAGCTTTATGTATATGTCTGTTATGTTTTTTGTTTTGATGTGCAATGAAATAATTTTGCATTGTCTTCTTCGTTTATGCTATATGAAATAAATATGTTTATATTTTTTTGGTTTAGTTATTAGCACAGTTTATGTTCAATAAAGGCAATTTTTTTTGTGCTATTCGTTTTTTTTTATTCAGTCCAGCATTTTTGAAGGAGATGACTAATTTGAGTACATTTTTTTTTTTTTTTTGTGGTCTAATGGGTTATGGGTTAAATATTAATGGTTTTTTAATTGAAAAAGGTCTGTTTTATAATCGGGTAGCTTTCTGTTAGGGTGGTTTCAAAAAGTTTGGTAACTGTAAGGGTATATGTGACCAGATAATATAACAGGGGTAAATATGAACACATACCATAGGAAAAGTGTAAATTTGGCCCTTTTCACTTTCTTTTTTGTTCTTCTTTTGGTATTATGAACTTTTATTCCCCTATTTGAAATTGGGATTTGGGGGATTACCCGCTTTTAACCATTAATTTCATGAGGTTGATCCTTTTTGAAACTAGAATAATAGACCGAATTAAAAAACTCATCCAACAATTATTTCAATTATACTGATTAATATTATATTTTTTAA